TCCGGAGGTAAATGGAGGGTGGACCTTTCTCAAAGTTGACACTTGTCAGCGACAGAAGTGTTGCAAGTACGGAAATTGGAAAGTTGGTCCCGACATTGACTCCAATTTAGTTGAGGAGCAGCTGAGCACCCTTTTGTCATAACTGCCATGGACACATCTATCTTTCACAATCTCGGCCTTTCTTAGGCCTCCCCTCCTCCCATTTTTTCCAGTAACTATAGGGAGTGTGTGTAGGCGGGCTTTTATTGCAGCAATGCAAACAATTCGAGGGAGAGCAGGTTGTAAATCCCTCAACAATTGCCTGTCTCCGATTCGTTTTGCAACCTTTCGCAGCACACACAGAATGTTATCATGTGTCCTGTGGAAGGACGTTCCAAGGAAAAGCATTCAGGGTCAGCGATTAGGAAATTGTAGATGCTGTGGGTGGAAAACTAATAACGCATCTATATCAAAGGGGCGGCGAATGAATGTGAATTCATTTTTATGTTTGAGAGGTAGGCTTTGAACTGAAAGCATCGTTTTATTGTTTGTTAAAAAAATAAAAAGAAAAATTTAAATTTTTTTTTTTTTCCAACCACCAAAAAAATATAAAACCACTCTTATTTACCTAATCTTGCGGCCATTCTCGGGCAAAACCAACTTAATGGGCTGGCAAAACCCTCCCAGTTCCATCAAAATCAAGCCGCCTTCGAAAAAGAAAGCCTATTCTAATTTTCAAGATGTCGATTCCAGCGACTCCGAGCATGGAGAAATGAAGCGGAGAAGAAGACGAACCTACCACCAGCGAAGCAGCCAGAGCTGCACTTAAAGCTAATATTGAAAAAAATTATTATGCAATTCTTTCTGATTTAGACGATGAAGATCGTGTCAGCGACATGGAGGTTGACGTTATGAAGAAAAAGATGATAAGAAAACCAAGCAATCTGCGGCAAAAACGGCGAAAATCATCAAACCGCCCCCAATTTTTATCCCGGACGTATCCAGCATCAAGGGCCTTTCCAAAGACATTTCCCACCTCTTAGGCGGGGATGTTGAAGTGACCTACAAAGCAAGCACTAACAACACAATTCGCGTCATGACTCCAGATAAGGATACTTACTCAACTCTGAAAAAGTTCCTGAGCGAAAATAACCATCGATACCACACATTCCAGCCCCGAGACGAGCGCGCTTATCGGATCGTCGTTAAAGGCCTCCACTTCTCCACCGACCCGGAGGATATTAAGGTGGGTTTCAGCAGCCATGGACACAAAGTCAGGGATATACACAATCCTATGCAAAAAGGTACAAAGAAGCCACTAAACATTTTCTTTATTAACCTCGAGCCAGCCAAAAACAACAAGGAGGCCTTTCAAGTCAAGCGGCTATGCAGCACGATGGTTACGGTTGAGCCACCAAAAAATTCGACGATGTGCCCCAATGCCATCGCTGCCAGGGCTTCGGTCACACGAAACGGTACTGCCATCTGGAGTACAGATGCGTAAAGTGTGGAGATAGGCACCCATCGTCCGAATGCACCAAAATTGCCAGTGAACCAGCAGTCTGCCTCCACTGCGACGGATCACATGCGGCCTCTTACAAGGGCTGTCCAGCCTACAAAAAGGCAAAGAGCACGTTCGCCCCCAAACAGGCTGCCCCAAGACGCCAGCAACCTCAATTCAGCAAAATTAACCCTAACATCAGCTATGCTAGCGCAGTCAAAAACGGAGCACCACAGTTTGACTCCAACCCCAATCCCGATCCCAGTCTTTCAAGTAATCCAATGGACGCCCTAACGGCTAGGATGGAATCTATGTTTGAGCGCATGATGGAGAAGGTCTTGAGCCAAATAGCCCAAATGATGGCCACCGTTTGCAAATCCTTGTGCATACGCAATTAAATATAACCATATGGAATGCTAACGGCCTGGTAAAAAGAAGGCCAGAGGTCGAGCTATATTGCAAGACCCTCCAAGCAGACGTTCTCCTCATATCAGAAACGCATTTTACCAACAGATCATACTTGACTATTAGAGGATACGACCTCATTGCCGCTAACCACCCGAACGGTAGAGGTCGCGGGGGCGCGGCCATCCTTATTCGCAGCTGCATCAAGTATGAGGCACTTCCAGCCATGTGCGAAGACTGGGTACAATGTGCCCAAATTAAAATCTCCACTACCAACGGTGACATAACAATCGCCGCAGCATATTGCCCCCCAGGCACAACATCCACGAACAGGAATTCGGCTTGCTACTGGATTGCCTCGGCCCCAAGTTCATAATCGGAGGGGACTTTAATGCTAAACACCCCTGGTGGGGCTCCAGGATTACAAACCCAAAGGGCTCGGCCCTATACAGGCAGATTCAGTCCCGAATCTTGAGCTGTCACGCAACCGGTGCACCCACATACTGGCCTACGGATCCCCACAAAATCCCTGATGTGCTAGACTTCGCCATCTCCGGAGGACTGGATTCTGCCGGAATTCAAGCGAGAGAAGTAGAAGACCTCTTCTCGGACCACAGCGCCTTTGCCGTGTCACTTTTCACCCCAGCCTTGCTCAGGTCAGCCCGCAAAAAGCTGATCTACAAGACAACAGACGTTGACAAGTACCAATCCTACCTGAACAACGTTACCGACCCCAGCCCGACACTTGACTCCCCGGTTGACATCGACACCGTTGTAGAAGAGTTAACAGCCCATATTCAGGCGGCAGCTTCTGAAGCAGCACCAAGGCCCTCCAACCGCCCAAGAGCCACTGACAGGGACATCCATTTTTGGAGCCCAGAAGTCGAAGAACTCAAACTTGAAAAGCGACGACTCCGAAGAGTGTGGATGCTCTCAAGGAATCCTTTGGACAAAACCGCCTTCAATAGAGCGACCAAATGTCTGACAGAAACTCTGGCAAGACTAAGGAAGCAGGCCTTTGACGGGTTCGTCGAACAACTCGAGCCAGGCGACCCTCAACATAACTTATGGCGAGTCACCAAATCTATCAGACAGCCGCTGAAAAGGATCCCACCTGTACAAAGAACCGACGGCAGCTGGTGCAGATCGGAGATGGACAGGGCCAACGCTTTCGCCGAACACCTCGAAGGTGTCTTTACGCCTTTCGATCGCTGCTCACCGGAGGATGCTGCTGAAACTGCCCGTCTGCTAGCCGAGCCTTCTAGGGACGCCGATCCAATACCACCAGTGACTGAGGAGGAAACAGCTGAGCTTATAACCATCATGAGCAACAACAAGGCCCCGGGCGATGATGGTATCAATGCAATTGCATTAAAAATGTTACCACCTCCAAGCATTCAGCTAATTACGAGGATCTATAATAGATGCTTGGAGATAGGGTACTTCCCGTCCACATGGAAACGTGCCCAGGTAACTATGATACCTAAGCCCGGGAAACCCGAAGCAAACCTTTCGTCCTACCGACCAATAAGTTTGTTACCAACGCTCTCCAAAATACTTGAACGAGTGTTTTTAAGCAGAGCACTGCCAGTATTTGACGAGGCTGGACTGATCCCTGACCACCAGTTTGGCTTCAGGCGGCGACACGGTACGCCAGAGCAGTGCCATCGGGTAGTGCAGTGCATCCTGGACGCGTTTGAAACCAAGAAGTACTGCATGGCCGTCATGCTGGACGTGAAGCAGGCGTTTGACCGAGTCTGGCATCCCGGTCTTCTATATAAATTAAAGACTGGCCTACCCCGACCATACTTCCAGTTCCTAAAGTCGTTCTTGGAAGACCGTAAATTTGCTGTTAGATGTGGCGAGGCCATCTCCGGTATTAGAGAAGCTCACGCTGGTGTACCCCAAGGCAGCGTTCTTGGCCCGTTGATGTACAATGCTTACACGGCCGACCTCCCTGTTCTTCAGAGGCCTGACCTGCTCGCAGCAACCTATGCAGACGACACCGCCTTCCTTACCACCGCCGATAGCGCATTGGGGGCAGCCGATACGATGCAATTGCAACTTGACTTGCTCAGCGACTGGCAAAAGCGATGGAACATTGCCGTCAATAACGAGAAGTCCACTGCCTCCACATTTTCTCTCTGCAAAGGCAACTGCCCTCCAGTTAACCTTAACGGCTCTCCAATCCCACAGGTAGACAATCCCAGGTACCTGGGATTCACCCTAGACAGGAGGCTCACCTGGAAGCCCCATCTGATTAAGAAGAGGAAACAGGCTATTCAAAGACTTCGATCCTTCAACTGGCTTATGGGTAGGAGATCGAAGCTGAGAACTTCCACTAAACTCCTCATTTACAAGGCAATAATACGCCCTATCTGGACGTACGGCATACAGCTCTGGGGAACTGCGAGCAAGACGAATGTCCGAACTATGCAAGCTTTTGAAAATAGAGTCCTTCGAATCGCCACTGGGGCCCACGTCTATCATGACAATCGCACTATCCACGAGGTTCTCAATTTCCCTTGGGTCAAGGACGAGATACAAAGAAGCAGCGCACGTTACATGCAGAGGCTTCATAATCACCCGAACCGGTTGGCCAGCTCCCTGCTGGACAGCAGCGAGCAACCCAGAAGACTTAAAAGGACACACCCGCTGGACCTCCCCTTACTACTCTAATTTTTTTTTTTCTACCATATTAATATTTAAAAATATCTATACGTGAAGTTTACGTGATAAAATTTAAAGGTTGTCCCTAATGGACAGTTTTAAATAAACATTACCCTGCTATTACAAAAAAAAAAAAAAAAAAAAATTTTTATGTTTTTCATCCAATGCAAATAATCTCTGCTTTTCAGAAAAACTTATTTTGTGGTAAATTCCAGAAACTATAGATGGTTCATGAACAAAAATACAATTCTTTGAAGCACTGCAACTTGAATCACTCCCTGGTTTTTTCATTATCAATCAAGTCCCCAAGTCGATTACCCTCTCTTTGACTTTTAAACAACCCAGAAATTTATCTTTAAATACAACCCAAATATCTCAAGTGTGCACAACCAGAGCTGCGGCAATTTCAAAGAATATGCAAATCGAGTTCCATTTGAATATTTACGTCTTGCTGCCAGACAGGGCTATCTCTCAATTGATTTGTAATTCACTCTTGTCGTACAATTCCCGCTTATCGCCGGGACTGGGAGCTGGGAGTAACCTTTTGACACCGAAACGAGATGCTTAAGCAAAAGTAAATATTCAAAACTAAAAGCACCGAATCGAAGCGATAAAGCGGAAACACAAAGCCGTAATCAGAGCTATCCGGAAAAGTGCGCGCGTTGCTGGGAAAGTATGTTTGGGGGCCTGGCACACGATGCGATTAAGGACGCGATTCGACTGTAGAAGCTGGCTGATTCTGAAGAAAGTTGGCTAAAAACTGCTGGCTGCAAAGCGAACTGCGTGAGGGCGGCACGGCCGACAGAAATCGACTGAACGGACTCGGCCAGTGGCACGGCACTTTTAAGAGAAAATCTGCTCCGGCTCGGGAAAATTTGGGAGAGAAAGCTTTTCCCTAACTTATCAGCTCGAGGTCTTGAGGCGGCAATACAAGTGAAATAAATCAAATTGAATTTATGATTTCTGTTTTTTCCTTTTCATATTATTCCTGTTTTTTTTCTTGGATTTATTCTGAGGTGCCTCCTTGGAGTAGTGGGCGGAGGATTTCATTTCGATTCGGATAACGCGGCTCATTGGGCCGCAGACTCTGTTCTGTTTGTTCGAGTGGCCACCTTGAGGCACTCGAGACACCTGCCGCCAGGTGGCAGCTGGAAGACGGTGGATGGCAGTTGGCAGATGGAAGCCAAAAGCTGACAGGTGAGAATCTTGTTTGACTTTGGCTTCCGCTCATTATGCCGCCAGCCCGGCTGTCTGGCAGTTGTAACCCAAAAATTTGTTTGCTCCTTGGAAGGATAATTACCGGGCCCGCCTGTTTGCTAATTTAAATTGCCCTAAACTTCGGGGTGCTTAATTTTCGATTTCATTTAATTTGGCGAAAATCTCATTAGAGCAACGCGACTTGACAAGATAAATGTGCGAATGGGCTCGGAGATGCTTTGACCTGTGCCCCGGGCACTGGCTTTCGACTTCTTTCCGTCTCGGGCCCCCTCCATTGATATATCCCCAAGTCAGCGATTTATTTGGGGCCAAACAATAGCCGGATAGCCCCATAACCCAGTGAACATTTGCCTCGCACTCTTGCGGGCTGATAAGAGCTGTTCTTTTGGCCAAAGTGATAACATGGCCAACAGGGAGGAGCGCAGGCGCGAGCTTTCGCGAGAAGAGAGTGAAAGTTCCAATCTGTTGGCTGAACTGATAAGGACGTGCCGCTGCCTGCATCTGTGGCTTCAATTGTCTTTAATCGCTGCTCAAACGTCGATGATGATGTCCTGGCCGGGGCAGCAGGGGACCGAGGTGGCATGTCCTGGGGCGGGTGGAGCTAGCTGGGGGACCTTTAACGAATTGTCATTGATTTCTTTTGAAATGGCGCCGCTTTTGTTTGCCTTCGCTTCTGCCACATTAGGCAGCTGAGCAGCAACGAGGCTTCCCCAATTTCCCGCTGATTACTGCAACTCCTGGCTCCTGGTTATCGGCCCATGATCACAAATTGAGTTTGCTCCGGCGTCGCCAGATTGTCCCAAACAATTATGGGCGCATTTAATTAATAAGTTTGCAGCCATAACAAAGGACAGGCCCAGTGACTTGGCCTGCAGAAGGGGCTGCCCAGAATCTGTCATTGTTGTTGCTCCGAAGCAATTAAGACATTGTCTTCCACGAACTCAACCTCGCTTGACCCTAAAACTTTTTAATAATTTGGCTTTTGAAAAATGAGCATCGGAAAATGCAAAACCCGAGTCTCAAAGAAAATATTTAAAAAACTGTCACACAAAGAGTTGCAAAGGAAAAAAGGAGAACAAATAAAAAGAGGAAAACCCGGCAGTCAGGGGGTGTGGCTGGGTGCCGGATTGTTTCCTTCCTGCCGGAGGATGGTCATTAAATTTTTTTCCCATCGCCTTTGGCAGTCAATACATATTTTGTAGCGTACATAAATAATGAGCTCAGTTGTTGCCCAGATTTGCGAATGTTCTTCGACAGTTTCAATTATTTATTTACCAACCCGATGGGAGTACAGTAAGCCCTCGTGCAGGATAGAGCGGAACCCTTCAGACTGAGCCAATTAGCGCTAAAGGTGAGTGGCTATGCTCGAGTTACTACTAGAGCTTCTGTTCAGGATAAAGCAGTGCTTTGTGTTATTTACAAGATAAAGATACTCAGATACAAGATACAGTTGGGACTACTATTCAATTAAATATGTAAAGTTCAATGTTTTGTTAGTTGATTTGATATATATTTTGAGTATTTAAATGGTAACCACAAGGATGGGCTAGTTAATCGTTCACTAGACTATAGCCTAGCCTTGGATATTCGTTATTTTTTTTCATAAAAATCCACTACACACTAAGACTTGTCTTCCGGAAACACAATTCTATCTTTTTTTTCTCCATCACTACATCCATTACTTGCATCAATATATTTTTTAATTTTGTATTAAAAGTAACAAATATAAACTCACCTGCATAGAACAAAGGCAGCAGATTGAAGATGATAACCAGCGGAAATATAGAGCGTGCAAACTTTTGCATATCCGTGAAGATGCCGACTCCCGAAGTCGTTGAAGTGAAAGCATCAGAGTCCCTTGCGGCACCTTGTTGTTGAAGGAGTCTTCGTTGCGCTTGTTGTTGTTTTGGTTGTGGCTGTTGCTGTTTTTGTTGATTGGTAGAGTCTTGGCTGACTTTGGAAGATAGACGTGATAGGCAAGTGCTCGTGGTGTGGCGGCAATCCTGCTCCGAAATCCCTGTAGTAGCAGCAACAGTAGAAGCAATGCATTGCTGTTGCTCAGTAGCAGTAGCAGCAGCAGCATTGCAGGTTGCAGCAGCACTGCTGTATGCCAATGGATGTTGCATCCTTGGGTGCTTGGTAGCGATCTCATCTGTGGTCCTTCTTGGCCATTTTGTTGTTGCACTCGCTGGTGCATCATCTGTTGCTGGTTTTGATGTTGCTGCTGCTGTTGATGTTGCTGCAGCGGCTGTTGCTGGCGTTGCTGCCGCTGCTCCAGTTGTTGTTTCGGGCCATGCTGTTGCTCCTCCTCCGACTGCTCCGGTTGTTGTTGCTGCCACCGATTCGCTTTGTGTTTGTGTGTGCCACAGAAACGTATCGTTTTGAAATTGCTTCCGCTTGTTGTTTGTGTGCTTCTGTTGTTGTTGTAAAAGTTGGCGTGTCGTTGTTGTTGTTGAAGAAATTGTTGTTGGTGTGTTATAGAAATGTCGTATCTGTGCTGAGGCCATGTTGTGCCCTAAAATGAGATTTCAAAAGCCAAGAAGGACGTAAAACAAACATTAAAATGCAATAAGTTTATGGTGATGTCAAATTGAAAAGGACACAAAGGATAGAGTTGACCAGTTCGGATAATCCAATCGCTTTGATTATCGATTTCGAAGGATTACACGCCACAGGAAACAAAAAACATTGCGAACCATTTCGGGTTCTTGTCGTTTTAATCAATTTCCACTGGCACTCCCATTCTGTTAATGCCTCTGCCAGCGGACAGTCCTTTTTTTTGGGTTTCGTTTTTTCAAGCTACAAACAAATCCCCAACCCCTTTTTTTTTCAAAAGGGTCCCTATAGTTGGTTTTTTCTCTTCAAGGTTTCTCGAAATTAGTTCATTTTTCGTAAAAGAAGTCAACAGTTAACATAAACAGTTAAAGTTTTAAACAAATAGACTATTTGTTTCTTAGTATTCTATAAACAAAAGTATAAACAATTTGTTTTGACTAATAGGGCCATGTAGTTCTCATATTAAGTATACGCCGTGTATTATGGCATGTAACGTACATATATTTTATAGCAAACCCTTTAGAGCTTTTATTTTTTGTTGTATCTTGTAAAGCAGGGAAAGCTTTGAAACTGAAGCTTACGGCAGGATTGTAAGCCCTACATTGCGTATACGTAACTTTACTGTAACGGGAAAAGGAAAGCTCTTACATCCATGTAAATGTAAATGTAAGTAAAAAGCATCTCAGGATACAGTCCAGTGTACATACCAAAAAGGATAAACTCTCATAACAAGAAATGATAACAAGTTCTTTACTTTTTCTAATATGTAACACTTTTTTAGTTAAAGGAAACACAGGCGGATCCCTTTAATCCTTAGAGGATGAGCCTCTTGGTCTGTGCCCAAAACACATTCCTCATTTGCAAGCCATAAAAATTTGTGGCATAATCATAAATAACCTAACAAGTACACTAGATAAGCGCTTGGCACAAATGCCACGCCCATTGGGTCAGGCCGGGCATTTATCAAATTTCCGCCACTCGAATTGTTTTTTTGGCCGCAAAAACAGACGCCGACTGAAGGGGCTGCTCTGTTGCTTTTGCTGGCCTTGTTGTTTCGGCTTCTATCATTGTTGTTGCTGTAGTGATTACAGACGCTGATAATAAAGTAAAAATTGCAACAATGAACGCATAGGCATCATGTCTCTGGCAGTCGGCAGGACAGGCGAGCAACGCCCACACGTAGCACTGAGCCATAAAGTGCTCGTAATCAACGTGAAACTGCGACGCACGCACACACGTTTCGACTCTCCAATGCACTGAGAAAAATTTAAGGAGTAAAATGGAAATCTTATGTTGAATGCAAAAGGTTATGTTGGTAAAAAAAAGTAATATAATTGCACCTAAAATTATTATTACCCAATACTGTCTTATCATTTTGGAAACATTTTTTTTCAGTGTCTGGCCCCTAACCGAATTTCGGTCACCGGTGGCTGTGCCGTAAACTGGCCGCTGGTCGGTGGCTTTCCCATTTCGCCAACGAAAATTGTCTGCAATGCTGCACTAATGTCATCAGGGCGTATGCGTAACTAGGTGAATGTCGAGTGCGGAAGCTACCGGAGTTGGATGGCCGAACTCTTCCGGCCGAGGGGGATAACCGAGGGAATGGGATAACCGGCTGGCTGAGTGGTGTTTTCTGTTACGTTTCAGCTGTATCCATTAATTCCGGGCAGCTGGCAGCAAAGGATGTGTGCTCATGTGTGTGTGTGTGTGTATCCTGCTGAATAATTAAGGAGACTGGCTGGTTGGCTGACTCAGCTGCCTCGACTGCCTGCCTGGTGGAACTTCGCTGAGTTGTCAACGTTGCGAATACGAATGCGAATGCAGAACCATGGATGGGTGGCCACATAATTGGAAATTATTTGCTGCACCATGACACAACTATAAAATGCTAATTGCAGTCAAAAGTAATGGGTCACCGCAACAGTAACAAACATGGCCAAATTGCAACTTGTTTTTTCTGCCTTTGTCTTCGGGTGCTAGGTAATGTTTATTCAAATAGTTTTCTCTATTTTCACGTACAGACACCTGTGTA